TGGCGGGTGTCTGCTTTGTCCTACAAGCGTACGTGTACACATATACACCCGCCCGTTCCTACACCAATCCAAACATACAGTCGTTCATACATCTCATCTTCTGGAATGAGTGAATACCTTCATCAAAATTCCACCAGCCCTCTGCGCGACATGTGGTCTAACGATGTCGGTCTTTCCTCTTCCCAAAACACTCTTCCCCTTCGTGGAAGGGGTTATCACCGTTCCCTATTAATTATCAGACCTGCCGATATGATCTCGCACTGCATTATTTCGACCGACCGACCGTGCCTGTGATGTGTTCTGGACTGGGATGTGTGCTGGGACGTGTGCTGGGACGTGTGCTGCCTTCGTGTGCTTGGATGTGTGCAGGGTTATGCTGCCTCCGTGTGCTGGGATGCGTGCTGGGATGTGTGCTGCCTTCGTGTGCTGGGATATGTGCTGGGGTGTGGCTTGGGTGTGCTGGGGTCTCTGGGCCAAAATGTGCGTTGGGATGCGTGCCGCCCCCGTGTGCTGGGGTGCGTGCTGGGATACGTGCTGGACGTGCTGGGGTCAACCGTGCCCCCCGGTCCACCCCATCCTCCCGACTGACCAACGGTGCGCCCCCACCCGCCCTCTCCGCCCCGTGGCCCCCGTCGGCTCATTCCGACCGACCGACCGTGCCCCCCCCACTCTGCCGGGCACCCCCGCGCCCATCCACCCCGTGGCACCCGTCTGCTTACTCCGACCGACCGACCATGCCCCCCCCTGCCCGACCGTGCCGTACGCCCCCCCGCCCTCTCCGCCCAGTGACCCCCGTTGGCTTATTCCGCCTCCTCTGCCCGGCCCCTCTCGCACCCCTCCACCCCGTGGCCGACGTCTGCATATTCCGACCGACCGTGCCTCCCCCTGCCCCGTACCCTCCCGTCCACCTGTTCCCCCCCGCGCCCCTCCGCCCCGTGACCCCCGTCTGCGGAGTCCGACCGACCGACCGTGCTCCCCCCCCTGCCCGACCGTGCCCTACCGACCCAGTGCTTCCCCTCCCCAACACCCCTCCGCCCCGTGGCCCCCGTCTGCTTCTTCCAACCGACCGACCGTGCCCCCCCTGCCCGACCGTGCCCCCCTGTCCCCCTGCTCGCCCGCACCCCTCCGCTCCGCGGCCCTCGTCTGCTCATTCCGACCGACCGACCGACCGACCGTGCCCCCTCCCCTGCCCGGCCATGCCCTCCCGTCCCGCTGTTCTCCCCCCGCACCCCTCCGCCACGTGGCCCTCGTCCGACCTACCCGCCTGATCCGAGCTGTCGTCGCCGCCGCCGTCGTCGTCGCCGCCACCACCGACGCTCAGAGAGGGAAAAGGTACCTACACCGCTACCCTTGCCTCGTTTTCCCTTATGAAGGCCTCCTGGGAGGCCCTCGTCGCCGCCGCTGGATTCGCCTCGAAATTCTGGTCAGAAAACACTCCGGGAGAGGTCCGGGGAGTGGCGGCATCGGTGCCTTTTGGTTTCCCCAGGCGCCGCCGATGATGTCCAGGGAGAGAGATCGTCGTCCGCCTCGTCGCTATCTCTGGGGCTGTTGCAAATGCCCCGAACGACCCTGAGACATTCGCGGAGCCCCCCGCCGAGCGCCCCAGGCGACCCAAGAGCGCTCAAAGACGCCCGAGACGACCCAAGACGGCCCAAGAGGCCCCCAGCACGCTCCAAGAGGCCTCCGAAAGACTTCCGAAGCAGGCCCCGAGAGGCCAAACTTATTCAGTTGCCCTAGGTTTTGGAAAGACTTCGGCGTTCTCGCCTCGTCGGCTCCCCGACGCTCACAGACGGCCCTAGAGGCCCCCAATACCCCCCCACCACGGCCCAAATTTAAATGTATAGGTGCATATACACATATATATATATATATATACAAATACATATATATATATATATATATATATATACAGATAGATCCACCGCCTTCCGAGGTCCCCGAAGGTCGATCCCCCAGGCGCTGGGTGTATAAAACCCCCGCCTCGGAAGATAGGGCTGGGGAGCAGAACGATCCAAAAAGCAAGTGGGCATCTCAGTCCTTGGCGTACAAGACCAGTCCAGCGCTGTACATGAGCTGCTACCTTGGGCTGCAGCTCGCTGGATACTGCTGCGTGAAAGGCGCTGCTACCCTGGGCCGCAGCGCCATGCAAGTCAATACCCCAGCATGACTTATTCCACACGGCACTTGAACGAGAGGTGGACATGCTTGGTTCGCGCATGAACTTCTGTCCTGAGTCCTGAATGGATGAACATTTAACCCAAATCCAAAATTCCCGGATTCCTTGGGGCCTTCGGAGACTCCGCGAATTCGTTAAGAAGCCGGGAGGCGCGGTACCCGCCAGATGTCAGGGGATGTGTAGTACCCCCGAGTAGGAGTTCCACTTTGATGAACTTAGAATTCCCTCTCTTTGTTTCCAAAATCCTCGATCTTTACGGGTTGGAAGCAGGAAAACGTGAGAAGGCGAAAAACATTGGAAAAAGCACTCGAAATCAACGATTTTACCCTCTTTGGGCTCTCTCGGGACGGCTCTCGCAGCTCTCTTGGGCTGTTCTTGGAGCCTCGTCGGGGTGTCTTTGGGGCCTCTCAGGGATCGAGGGTGTGTTGGGGGCCTCTGGGGGTCCTGGAGGCCTCTCGGAGGTCTCTGGAAGCCTCCTGCTCCCGCTCTTGGGCCCATCTTGGGCCTGTTCTGGGGTGGTCTGGGCTGTGCTGGGCGCCTCCTCGGCAGTCTTGGAACCTTCTTGGCCCGTCTTGGGGCCGTCCTGAGGGTCAATTGGGTGGTATTGGGGCGGTCTTGGGAGGCTCTTCGGCGCTCTTGGACCGTTGGAAGAAAACGCGAGAAGCCAAAAACATTCAAATTATCCTGGCGAAGGTCCCAACCATATGTAGTTGTGGGCACCGTAATTGTAAATGTCTGCTTCGGTGAAGCTCCCTATGGGGCCACGAAGCGCTGCACTGGGCGGGGGGGAACGCTGTACTGTGTGGGGTGTGCCGAATTGGGTTTCTGGGACGCATGCGGACGGTCCCACCTTCGGTGGAGCTCCCTATGGGGCCACGAAGCGCTCTACTGAGTGAGTGAAAATGCCAAATTGGGCTACCGGGACGCATGCGGACGGTCCCACCCGGGGCTTCGGTGGAGCCCCCTATGGGGCCACGAAACGCTGCACTGCGCGGGTGAACATGCCAAATTACATTTCCCGGACGCATACGGACGGTGGCACTGGGGCCTTAGGTGGAGCCCCCTATGGGGCCACGAAACGCTGCACTGGGTGAGTGAAAATGCCATATTGGGCTTCCAGGACGCATGCGGACGGGGGCACAGGGGCCTTCGGTGGAGCTCCCTAGGCAACGAAACGCTATACTGGGTGGGTGAAACGCAAGGAGGAGGGGGAGGAGGGCCACGAAACGCTGTACTGGGTGTGCGGGGCGCATGCGGACGGTAGCACTGGGACCTTCGGTGGGGCTCCCAATGGGGCCACGAAACGCTATACTGGGTGGGTGAAACGCAGGGAGGAGGGGGAGGAGGGCCACGAAACGCTGTACTGGGTGTGCGTGACGCATGCGGACGGTAGCACTAGGACCTTCGGTGGAGCTCCCTATAGGGCCACGAAACGCTGTACTGGGTGTGCGGGACGCATGCGGGCGGTAGCACTGGGACTTCGG